CGGGCCTGACTCCAGCCAGGCCTCCCGGGACTCCTGCCGCGGGGACCCGCCCTCTTCTGGCAGCCCCACCTTCTGCCTGGGGCCGGGACCACCCTTCTGTCCTCCCCGAGGGACTTTCTGGCCTCGGCCCCGGGCTTTCTCCGGTTGGGCTGACCGAATCCGGCCTTCCTGGCAGTCAGTTTCCCCGAGTAAGCCACTCTCCTGCCTCGCCGGCGCCGGGGGCTGTACAAACATGGATGTGGTATAGATCTCTTGATATTGTTATTTCCCAATAGACTCAGCGTATGCCAAACTCGATTGTCACCTCTTGCAAGTAAAGCTCATATAATCACCCTAGGGACTTCTCATTAGCCTTCGGCACACATGTTCATTTGAACTTCATATTACACACGTTCTGTCCCAAGCGCTATGCTCTTAGTTTTGGGGTCCTATTTAATGTGTCCTCAAGTGTATTTTTACCTCCCTTCCCCCACTAAAACTGGTCCCAGAATCTCCCAGCTCTGCAGGGCTCTATGAAATTACTGCCTTGTTCCTAAATTCAATCCATTCCTTTCTGTCTGTTGGAACCATCTGGGGACTTTCCTTCCATTGGCAAAATAGGCCTGAGTTTGGGGATATTTTCTGTTTCTGTATTGGCAGGGCAGTCTGTGGGGACACTGTGGTATGTCTTACAGTTTGCCACTTGAATAAGACAGTGTGTGGAACTGGTTTCACTCAGAAAGCCCAGAGAAGTGCCTGGAGGTGTTCTTTTTTTCACCTTGCAGCTGAGTTGATTCTGTTGCCTTGAAGTCTTGGGCTCTCTCCTCACTGTTGGTTAGGCAGACGGATGTGTAAGTCAGAGTTAGGGAGCATTGCTGGGCTTCACCCTCAACTGTCTTCCTTTCCCCACCTTTTTTCTGGATAATATTTTATATATATATCCCAGATAGGAATGATGAGAGTACATCTTTCTGTTTCGCTCAGCTTAAAGAACAGAGCATTATCACCTCTGTTGAAGCTCTCAGGGTGCCCCTTCCTGACCATCTCCCCTCTTCCTTCTACACAGGGAAACACTATTTTGAATCGTGTTTATCATTTCCCTTTTTAGAAAAAGAAATTAGTTTTACTACATAATGCATCTCTATATATTTTATAGTTCTGAATGTTTTTGAAGTTTGTATAAATGGTGTCATCCTGTATGTGTTCTGTGACTTGATTGGTTTTTCTTTTTTTTTTAAATCAGCATTAGGTTTGTGAGAATCATCCATGTGGTATGGTAGCCATAGTTAAATATTTTCATGATGGGTAGTATTCCGTTGTATGAATGAATATACCATAATTCTCTTGATAAATATGTATGTTGTTTCCTGTTTAACACCCTCAGTAATGCATACATTTCCCCCCAGGACTCCTAGTGCTCTTGTGCAGATGTTTCTTTAGGTTGTATTCATATGGAGGGGTGGGGTTGCCACTTGCAGGGTGTAGATCTGGGACTTAACTGGGCAAAAGTAGATTGTTTCCACAGGCTCCTTCCACTCTGTTTCCACATCACTTAACAGATTTACACATTTTTTTTTTTCCTCTGTCCTTTCTCTAGGGAAATCAGGAGCCACATTAGTTTAGTTTGCTGTGGCCAGATCTATAGCACAACACCAAGCTCAAGCGAGAGTTGAGTATGTGATGGTATTCCTCTCTTGATCCTAAGCAGGCCTCTCTCTTTCTATACAGGCCCATCCATCGCTGAAGTATCCTAACCCACCTCTTTCACACATAGAAACACCGTGCCCCTTCCTGTGTGGGTCCAGCCTTCCTGTTCCTCCTTCATTTCCATGCCTGTGTTTGGTGACATTTGGGCAGCTGCCTTCTCCATCTTGTTAGGTTGAAAAGGCGCGAGCCGGCTGGCAAGGAGCTGCAGCAGAGGGGCGTGAATGAAATCATTGACTGCTGTTGATGTTTGGTCTGCCCCTAGGTCTCTTGGTCACTGCACAGTCCACGTAATAAATTATTAGCCCAAGAAACAGCCAGGCATCCTGATCAAATGTATAATTATTATGCTAACTTGCTGTGAGAGGCTTAGGCGGACTTATTTTCGCATTCTGGGAGCCTGCAGTTGTGTCACGTTTACTGACCAGTCCTTGAGCTTGTCCACTGTCCTGCTTCGACCTTGTTTTCCACCCATCACCCTTGTACCTCCTAACTCCTTGTGGAACATATGTGCTCTTTGAGCATTTTGCAGGCTGGAATAACACCCTGTGGGGAGAAAATGGCCTGCCATTGGTCTTTCCACTTATTAGAGTCATCTGGTTAATTTGAGGTCTCCTGGGTGTCCTTGTTCATGTTGTTTAGAATATATTGGCAACATGCAGCACTCTATGGAGGGATTAACATTCTTGTCTCATTAACTCAAATGGGACACAAATATATGAGACACATGCCCTTTAGAAATGTAAACATGATTGTGGATCTAAGGTTAGGTGTGCATAAGAATGTCGTGGGATTTGGTCTCAGAGCAGAGAAGAGGGGCTCGAACAGTATGGTGTTAGGAAGGTCCTGCTGCTTTTTTTTTTTTTTTTTTGAGACGGAGTCTCGCGCTGTGTCACCCAGGCTGTAGTGCAGTGGCGCGATCTCGGCTCACTGCAAGCTCCGCCTCCCAGGTTCACGCCATTCTCCTGCCTCA